CATAGGGCCAGCCATATTTCCTATGTGCCTGGCTGATTATCTGATCACAATTGCAAGTCTAATGATGGCCATAGATGGTTAGAATTTCTTTTTTTTTCTTTTTTTGCTCAACCCCCTGGACTTACAGATTCCTCCATCCACACAAACCAGAGACATTGTATTTTGACAGCAGGACCCACCACTGTCAGAATACACTGATCAGCGGTTGCAGCCACTGATCGAGACAGACTTTCTAATATGAATTTTCAATCGACTTCTGTTGAGCAGGAAAAGCCACACACTAATCAAAATTTGGCTTGTCCCTGCTGAACTGGACAAACTTCAGTCAGTATATGGCCAGCTTAACATATAAAACCTTTCAATATACTCTGCAGTGTTTAATGATTGGCATGTGATATCATGTGATCTGGGCTGCCTAGGCTTGGGGCAGCAGTCTTGCTTTTGTTATTCATATTAGGAAAGAGGTAGTTGTGCACCTAAAATAATGATGTGATTTAGATTGACCCGTGACCTATTGATTAGGGTGAGAGGGCCACTTTACAACTCTATGATCTCTAGTCCCTATGAGGTATGGTAATCACCAGCATTGATTTGGGGTGTGATTGCTTTTGTTCAATTCACACATTCTGTAGGATTTGCATGATATATATATATATATATATATATATATATATATATATATATATATATATATGCATATACATACATATGCATACACGCACACACTTCTATAACCTATAACCCTAGGGGCCTACAGCTAGCAGCTTTTGGTCTTGATTTAGCAAGCTATGAAGGGTCATAATAGAGTTCTCTAACCATCTTGAGGACACTCCCCTTGCTATGATAAGTGTATTAGGACAATGACAATTTGGAAAGTTAGGGCAAATTTTCAAGTATAGAACAATAAGTGGGTATATCATTTGTAAAAGAAAAGTCTTCTTTCTATGCACCCTCAGTAATATAGCTGTGGCTCAATATTACAGCATAAATATGATTTTAAAATAATCTCTTTTATACCTATGGAGTTTTTAAACAAAAATAAATAATACACTAATACAATCTCTTGCACACATATAGTACACTTTGCTGCGATGCTTGTGACTTCAATAATATTTATAAAGCAGTAAATGTGAACATTCACCAAAAATTCAGTGCAGATGAATCTTCCTGCTGTATGTGTTTTATACTACAGGGAATAATTAACCGCCTGTAAATGTCACATTTGCTGCTTTATAAATATGCCAAGTATCAGCCTGTCAGGTACCCATAGACATTAGATGGAAGTTGAAAGAAACGACTGTCTATCCTGCTCATGGTTTGGATGAATCCTGTGCATCCTGTACGGCCATCTGATGAAATGCCAATTTGATTCAGTGAAAATCTGTTAACTGGAGTCATAAATAAAAAATAACGAATATGACAAGTTTGGGTAATGTTTTGCAACATTTTTTCATAAGTTTCTTCCTTCAAATATTGTTTACAATATGGTTGTTTGTCCATGAATCACATTTGGATGACAATCTATCCTATGTCTATGGGTATCCTTAAAGAGTCAGTCCGATAAAAAAAACAAAAAAAAAACGTTCTAGTCTTTTGTAGAAGCTGGAGAGTTGTAACATTTCACAATTATTTATACATCTCTGTGCTTGACTGCATAAGTTTCAATCTCCGTGGCCATTATGGCATCTCCATTTTTTTTTTTCGTATCTTATATTATGCAGCAAGTAATAGGAAGAACAGGAGCAGCCATTAGGGTAGAGGTCCCTTTATTTTACTCTCCAAAAATGCAAGACAGCAGATGTCCCAGTCCTCTACAACCCACCTATAACTGATATCACTTTTGGATGGACTGACCCTTTAAAACAGTATACCTTGCCACATGGGTCTGCAACACATTGCTGTTTTCAGAGATGGCAAACATCTTTGGTCCTGTATTTTAGTAATTTTAACATTCTACACAATGTTTGCTCGGCCAGATATATACATCTACATACTACAGTGTATACAGTACATATATAGTCTCAGAAAAACAATGCCAGTAAGGCTGTACAAGGTAATAGCCATATGTTCTGCCATATTAAATTCTGTTCAGCTTACAGTTATTTCTCAGATAAAACATATCCTACCAAAAATACTCGAATTTCACAGTCCACTGAATGTATTTAAAGTGTGACTCTAGCACAAATGTTTTTCTTTACTTTCAGATAAAGTGGGGAAAGGTTAAAACCTCTATTTTGTTAATGCTTTCTTAGCCCCAAATGAGGAGATATATCTTCATTTACAGTCCCAGTGACTACCAAATGGCAGTGGACTAACACTTCCCTTTGCTATAGAAAAATGCTTAAATTGCTGTTTGTGTCACCATTGGAAAGATCTCTACTTAAAGGGTTAGTTCTCCTTTTCACAAAAAAAAAAAAAAAGATGAACTAACTCACAACACCCTCCCCACATTCCTAGTCCCTACTGCACGTACCTCCTTGGATGATTATTTTCTGCTGCCCATGCTAGTCAGTGTAGTGATTCAGGTATTTGAAAAATGCAGTAGGCCAGTGCTTCTCAGCCATACTGATGCCCACTCCAGACACTTGCAGATCCCCTAAACTCCCACAGTACCTTCCAGCTCTCACAAAGCCACCCAACCTCCTACAGTGGTCCACCTTGCCCCTCAACCTCCCATTGTGCCAGAAGCCCCTCAAAACCCTCAGCCCCTACAGTTTTCCCTAGCTTGCTGCACAGCCTCCAGCCCCCTATAGTGCCCCAACCTCCAACAGTGTCCCATAGTGCCCCCCAGTCCCTGCAGTGCACTTCAGTGCGCCAATGCTGCTGTAAAGCCCTAGCCTACTGGATACACCCACAGTCCCCCCCGAGACCACTGCCACACAGTTGCCCCCAGATACCTCCAGAATTCTTTTAAAGAGTCCCCAAGTCTGCTGCAGAGTCCCCAAACCCCCTTCATATCCCCCATCACCCATAGCCCTATCCAGAACATTCCAATACATATTTTGTACTCCCATACTTTTACTGTGTTCGTATAAATCTTTATTTTTTCACTGTTGGGCATATAGGGCTTTGGAAGCATTTACTAGGCCCTGGTCTCAATAAATTGAGAACCACTGCAGTACATGGCCCATGATGTGAGCATCATAATGATGAGTGGACATTGGTCAGCATCAACATGTGACATATGACCAAACTGACCAATGAGGATCTCTCATTCTGAAGCTGACCAATTTGAGACCTCATTTCTCCAGGATGCTGTCCATGATGAAAGAAGGGTGCAGAAGAGGGTGGTGTTCAAATGCCCGGAATGCTACATTATCTAGCATGAGCAGGAAAAGATAACCACCCAAGGAGGTAACTGCAGCGGGAATAGGGGGTGTGGAGGGATTGTTGTTAGTTCACCTTTTCATGATTTGTGAAAAGGTGAACTACATACAGAAATAAGGACAAAAACAGCAGTAAAAACATTTTTTTTGTATTCCACTTTTAGTGAGCCTAGGTTGGCAACATTTTACAGGTCATTAGCTAGCAGGCATTTCATTGAGTCTCATATAGAAGGTCTAATCTGTGTTATTACAACACAGCATAAAGTGGCCTGAAGACGCGTAACTGGAATCCATTGTGTCTTCATAATATACCACATGTAGGTGAAGGAATGATCAAAGTGTCAAAATGATACAATATTGTTACAGCACTTTGGTCCTATTGAACATGCAGCAGATCCTTATTTTTTAGTTAATTAACCATTTACAACAAAGAGAACCAATTCTGTATCTTTTGGTCTAGCCTATGCATTTACTAATGACTTGTTAAAGCAGCATTAAATCCAAAACCAAAAATGTTATATGTTGCAGGTTGCCAATCATTAGATGTGGTGGCTGTATTAGATTCCTTTTTTAAGCCTCCCAACCCCTGTTTTCACCTGGTGATCTGGCCTATAAGACACCTCCTGTATTAGAGTGCCCCCACTTTGGATGAAGGAGCTCAGAGGGCACCTCTGGACAGCAGCATTGTCAGACTGGGGGAAGGGGAGTATTAGATGGATTACCAGATTTAGATATACTAACAAACTGAAACCAAACTCCAGCTCATGCTTTATAATCAATTACAGCAAACAGTTTTTTTCATTTTGGGATAAAGGTTTTAGGTAAATAAATGTTGATCATGGTAATCACCCCAGCTAGTGTTAAAGGGTTTGTCTCATCTGTGTAATGGATACATTCTGCTGGAGAGCTTATTCTTTTAAAAAACAACAGACTTACTGGCTGGATCCCCCCAATAAAAATAGAAAAAAAGAATGCATAAAAAATCAAATGAATGCAGCCATCTCATCTAAGAAACAGTAACCTACAAATATAATAAATGTTTGCTTTTGGGTTTAATAAAACTATAACTGGAAGGTCTAGAACAAAAACTGCAGACTGTGTATACATTACATATACTCTTTAGTAGTACGTATCCCAATTAGATTTTTCTCTAAAACCTAGCACATTAAAAAAAAAAAAAAAAAAACACAACCTAGGCTTGCTCAAAACATTCATATAGATACCAGAAAAATAAAATTTTCAAAATAAATTAACCATTTAAAATGAATGTAGACATGGCCATCATTGTACAGTATGTTGCAGGTCCATGCAGCAGAGTTTGAATTAACAATATGATTGTTATGTCGAAAACAAGAAGACCTTCACCATTTAGGACAATAAAATAAAATAAAATACAATCTGTTCCAGCAACATAAGCAATAACAACCAGACATAATACAGCTTTCTTGCCTGTAAGGTTAACACTGTGTCCTGCTTGCCAATGTGGAACGCTACCTAAGTAGCTGAAAGGCTCTGCAGAAATTCAGGACAGATTGCACTGGTGTAAGAAGGTCTTCCACCTTGTAAACCCACAAGTGACACAAGGCAGGGCCAGGAAGTGTCCACACAAGGGCAGTGTGGCAGAGAAGAGCTGTAAGTTGGGTGCCACTAAAAGAAGATAACTGAAGGTTTTCATTAATCGCGCTTTGAGGGTAAGAACCCAAGGATAAATTCACCAATGCCTATAAAATAGATGACTTGTGCAATGCCAAAAAGTGGAGCAATAACCAGGGCTCTGCAGTACGCCCCTTTCAGGAAAGCAGCGGGACCCTCACTCCTCCAAATTTTCCTGCAAATATAAAGATATATGATGAAGAAACAGAATTCAGATACGTCAACTGACACATAAACAACTAAGTAAACGTTGCAATGAGATATTCTGTCACTATTCTTCTCTCATAGGTCTATAAAGTTAAAAAAACCCTACATTTACTTTAAATGTAAACTTTTTTGTTTTTAGTTTTGGATGGAATAAGAGTTGCGTTAGATCTTCTGCTGTCTGTGTCACTGCAGGGGAGATTTACCCTCACTATTGGTCCTGTGTCACAAAAACAGGTGGAGAGGGGAAATCTTCCAATGGTAAAGCTCTTCAAATGTCTAAAAGGGATTATCCTGCACTTTACAGAGACTTCTTTTTACTCCCTGTTGGGTCTCTGGGACAGTAAGGAAGATCTCCTCAACAGCACATAGACAGAAAAAGAAACCTGACAGTGGTCTAAGGGTGTACCCACTAGGTGTTTTAACCATGCCCAGCCATGGCTCACCCCTTGAATGTGATTTGTTTGCATAGTGTGAGTGTACTGAGCCTGGGACCACTTGGAAGAGATAGTCTGGGGCATGGATCACTTGGACTTTGGGATGGTTTGCTTCAGTGTGGGTGCTTCAACACAAATCTGAGCATTCAAGGAGCATGGCAACAGGGATCATTGTGATCTGGCTGGCAGAGATAATGACGTAAGAGTGCCCAGGAATGCTTCCTCACAGCAGTGTGAGTGCAGACCAGCATTTTAGTGGGGACAATCATACTCGGGCATGCTTCCAATCAACTATACCCAGTGAGAGTACACCCTCAACCATTCCCTACTCTATCCAAAACGGAAACAAAAAAATAAATTTTGGCTGGAGCTTTTTTTTAGTTGTCATCAGAGCAGGTTTACCCTTTGAGGATATTTCATCTCATCTCCTGTTCCTTGATATCTTCTCCCTACATGAACTCCACACATATAACAAACACCATTTCATGTTGCTTAGTTTAGTGATTCCCCCCTGCGTTCCCCTATGTCTAGCAGTAAACTGTTCCTGCCGTCCTCAGGTCCAGAGCTGGTCTATCTGCGCGATGACGTCAGAAGCAGCCCATTCACAAGACCGCTAGTGTGCGGGGGGCAAGAGTGGCAGGAACTGGTCGTGCGCTTGAAGGATCAGGCAAGTATATCTTTGCTTTCTGAGCCCCTAGACAAAAACGAGCATTTAACCCATGCAGTACGGACACTGCATGGGAAAATAATAATTTTGCCCAGAATTCTTCTTTAACCTAAATACCCAGATCCTCGACTGTAACATTAATCAAGGAATATGTGTAACTGAGGTGCTGGATTTGACTCTTCAATGGATCATGGTTTGAGGAGATCAAACAAGCTCATATGGCACAATGGCTCCCATGAGGCTGTTCTCAAACACAAAACAGGGTACCCCTTAAACCAGGGAATCTGCAAGTTTGGAAACCACAGATACAAAGTCAAAAGAGAATTCCAAAACTTCAGTGTGCTGATTTTATTTTGCTCCTGGGCAATTTATAACTTTGTTTAATTTTTCAAACAAATCATTGTGGAGGTTTTGCCAATTGTCCTGCTGAACAAACACCAATTTTAACAGTTTTTTTTTTGACTCTCAGTTCATTGGTCTGGTGCTCTCTTAGGACTTTATCTACCTAGCATTATTCTAACTCCTAAGACAGTGTAGTACCAGGATAGGGTGATGGTTATTTATGACAAGCCCATACTAGTCATTCTGATGTCTATCTTGCTTGTCCCTGTTTTAACAAAATTCCAATGTTTACTGACGTTTGTGCATGTTCTATATGCGGCCTTACAGCTTTACGAAGTGGGGTTTGCTGACAGCACACAGATACAGTATATTGCTCCATCAAGCTCATCCACATACATAAAATATGGTCTGTTGTCTTTGTGAGCCAGAGCTGCTCTATACTCAGAGTCTGACCTACTTTATCATCTGCCTTCCAGAGGATGATTCATAATAGATGAAGGAAAGGCAAATCCAAGCAGTTGTCCAATCATTTTTCTTTGCAAGATAGACAATGAAAAACAATCTGATTGGTTGTTAAATTTTTTCTTGCCCCAGATAATATAAATCAGATACAGTGTTTTATTGTTTTATTTTTTACTTTTTTATTTTACTAAAGAAAGTGTACTTTATAAATGGTAAACTGGAAATGTACAAAAACTGACAATAACATTTTTTTTTTAAGACAAAAGATATACAAGACAAAATGACATATTACATATTTCAAACAGATCTTTGGTAGGCAATATACTCCATGCCCAAAATAATCCTAAACACAGTTCTTTGCTGATAGCTGAAGAATCAATGTCACCAATCACTGAAAACCGTTGCTGCTTGCAAAAGTTTAGGAGGACTGCCTGGAAACATGGAATGAAGGACATTTACAGTGATTTCTCACAGCTCCTGACCACTTCTGGGAACTAGGCAGTGATTGTATAGTTACATTGTAAGTCAGGTTGAGAAGAGATACTTGTCCATCAACTAAAACTTATAGTGTTATGTATTATAAATATTAATGGTCAGTTGTTTTTTGTGCATTTAAAAACATCCAGACATTTTTGGGTTTACAGCTCTCAGGCTCCATGCACACTAGCATTTTTTTAAGCTCCTAGAAGCTGTTGTTTTTTTTCTGCTCCTAGAAGCTAAATAGTGTTATCTTATGTGTTCATGCACACTAATTTAGGCTAACAGTGTTTTTTGAGCTTCAACATGTAGGAACAGAAAAAGACTATTTGTGTAGAGTTTTTTGAGCATTTTTTTCAGCAGAAAAAAAATGCTAAAAACTACTAAAATGCTCCTAACAGCTTTATTTCTAGCTTTTTTCTACATGTACTGTAAAAACGCGAATAAAATGGTAAGGCTCCTAAATGCTTCTAAACGCTACAAAAACACTACTAAAAAACGCTATTACCAGCATTTATTATCCAGTATTTTTTTCCAGCGTTTTTTGAGCTTAAAAAAAAGCTAGTGTGCATGGAGCCTCAAAGTTAAAAACCCTTTCCGTGTGCATAGTTTAAACTTTTTTCCATCCATAAAAAAAAAAAAAGTGCCTCCTTGTGTAGTGCAATGACCTAAGTGAACAACTTTGTATCAGTTTTGCTATATGAACCATTTAAGTATTTGTACAAGGGGTCTTCAAAACGTTTCCGCACTTTATATATATATATACAGTGGAAAAAATAATTATTTGATCCCCTGCAGATTTTGTAAGTTTGCCCACTTGGAAAGAAATTAAAGGTCTATAATTTTTATCATAGGTGTAATTTAAATGATAGAGACAGAATATCAACCAAAAATCCAGAAAAACACATGATACAAACGTTATAAATTGAGTTGCAGTTCAGTGAATAAAATAAGTATTTGATCCCCTACCAACCAACAATATATCTGGCTCCCACAGACTGGCTATGTGCTCATGTGGTACACACATTAGACCTGTCAATTTAAGATGGTGCTCCTAACAACAACTCGTTATGCGTATAAAAGACACCTGTCCTCAGAATCTCTTTTTTGGGCAAGAGCACAGAGCTGTCAAAGGACATCAGGGACAAGACTGTAGACCTGCACAAGGCTGGAATGGGCTACAAGACCAACGGCAAGAAGCTTGGTGAGAAGGAGACAACTGTTGGAGTGATTATTCACAAAGGGAAGATATACAAAATAACCATTAATCGCCCTTGATCTGGAGCTCCATGCAAGATTTCGCCTCATGGGGTAAGGATGATGATGAGATAAGTGAGGGATCTGCCCAGAACTACATAGGAGAAGCTTGTGAATAATCTCAAGGCAGTTGGGACTATAGTCATCTAACAAACCATTGGTAACACAATTTACCGCCATGGGTTGAAATCCTGCAGCGCCCAAAAGGTCCCCCTCCTCAAGAAGGCACATGTACAGGCCTGTCTGAAGTTTGCCAATGAACATCTAAATGATTCAGAGAAGGACTGGGAGAAAGTGCTGCGGTCAGATGAGACCAAAATTGAGCTCTTGGGCATTAATTTGACTCAACATGTATGCAGAAAGTAAAATGCTGACTATGACCCTAAGAACACCATCCCTACAGTCAAGCACGGAGGTGGAAAAATTATGCTTTGGGGCTGTTTCTCTGCTAAAGGTACAGGCCAGCATTGAGGGGCCAATAGACGGGGCCATGTATTATAAATATAAAGAACCTTCTCTCAGCCAGAATACTCAAGATGGGTCTTCCAACATGACAATGACCCAAAACATACCACTAAGGCAACAAAGGAGTGGCTCAAGAAGAAGCACATTTAGGTCATGGAGTGGCCTAGCCAGTCTCCAGACCTTAATCCTATACAAAATATATGGAGGGAGCTGAAACTTAGAATTGTCAAGCGACAGCCAAGAAACCTTAAGGATTTAGAGAAGATCTGTAAATAGTGGATCAAAATCCCTCCTGAGATGTGTGCAACCCTGGTGTCCAACTACAAGAAACGTGCTTGCCAACAAGGGTTTCTCCACCAAGTATGTCATGTTATGCTTGGGGATCAAATACTTATTTTACTCACTGAACTGCAACTCAATTTATAACATTTGTATTGTGTTTTTTCTGGATTTGTGGTTGATATTCTGTCTCTATCATTTAAAAAACACCTATGATAAAAATTATAGACCCTTCATTTCTTTGTAAGTGGGCAAACTTACAAAATCTGCAGGGGATCAAATATTTATTTTCCCACTGTATATATATATATTTACAAAGTGCAGAAACTTCATGTAGAACATTGTATAAAGTGATCATATCCCTCCTTAAGAGCCGGTTCACACCATGAATCACACAGGACTGTGCTGTGCGTTCCTGTGTGAATCCGAGTGCATCCAATTGAACGGGCTGAAATCATGTCATTTGAGACCAAAAGTAGTGCACGCAGTACCTTAAAAAAAATGCACAGCAACCGGATCTCATGGTACTTACGTACCATGCAATTCGGTGCAGGCAAACGCAATGTGTTTATGACCTGCATTTGGGGTACTGTTATATTAACAGACTCCCTCTGCAGATCGCAAGTGCAGTGTGTTTTGACTGCAATGTGGGAAAAGCGCAAGGGTTTACCACATGGCTTTCAGGTGTGAACAGGTCCTAAAGCACATCTGTAGTGACTTTAAAAACATGAACTAAATGCCTCCTTGCAAAGCAAACTATTAAGAATGGCCTGTTCTGCTGATTGTACCATGACAATTATATGGGTTAAAGGGATAATCTTGCTGAAGAATATTCAGCACACTTCATGAAATGTCAGGTGATGGTTCCCCACATGCATTGTTGTTCCTTCCAAAAGCCCTTTGCCTTTTGGAGATGTAGAGACAGGTAGAAGAAACCACAAAGAATAGTAGGGGAATCCAGGAAAGAACACTCCTGGAAGTGTTGAATGCTGAATATTTTTGAGCAAGCTTCTCTCTTCAACACAGTGCAGTGACAGTGTGACAGGATAATTATTATTTCTTGTTTAGCATGGAAGAATTTTGTTCATGTCTTTAAAATTTCCACAGAATCATTTTAATTGCTTCTTCTTAAGGGCGAAAAAAATTCAGTTCAGCTAATTTTTCCACTTAGCTGAGCTTCTTCTTGCTCATTTTAATTTACTTGCCCTTTACTGCACTCTTTTTTTATGCACTCCTAAAAGCTATGCAACATCCTTTTTTGAAATGGTCAGACAGGCGATATTGGAACTGGTCCCCCGTGTCTTGAATACCCCTTTGACAGACCTGCTAATTTTCCTCTGCTTGGCTGATGCTAGCCACAGCGAATCAATCTAATTTCTTTGCAGAAATGGAAACAAGCCCTTATGCTTCACGTAGATTACCCAATATGAAGGCTATTTTCTATAATGATAGTTTCTGATGATCACAAATCCTTGTTATTTGCAGGAATCTCCTAATATACCCTTTACAAGCAAAGTTTATATCAGTCCCACTGCCAGCAGACAACAGCATGGTGCCTGAATGTATGTCAAAGCCCAAATGCGGATCACATATTTATGCATAGACAGATTACACCTGTCAGCTTAAGAATTACCTGGTACAGTCTATGATTCCTGAGTAAGTATCTTCATTGACACCTCGCTGCAATGACTGTAATCTTGTTTTAATCACTGGAGAAAAAAAAGAATTTGATAAAAACTATTGTTAAAGTAGGTGATTAGTAAAGTATGCCATATATAATATTTCTTAAACTACAATCTTCTTTGACATTGGTTTTCATTATCCCCTTTCTACACTAATTAGAATTGCCACTGGCCTCCTACAACATTGGCCTTGTTACAGTCTGACCTAACACCAGGCAGGCGCAGCGTCAATCAGTGTAACATATAACAAGGTGTTTTAGATAACACAAAAAATGATCTTCTCCCTCCTTGCGTGATCTTTAAAGGGCTGCAATGCTTTCTCCCCATAGATGCAGATATTCTTGTGAGACAGTTTGCTGTATGCGATCAGAAAAATAATGTGTCTACCTGCTGCATGAAATAAATGTCCTATTTTCTAAAACAGTTGTCTGAGCATAGACTAGTGCATACAATGGGTTGTATCACTGGAGACCAGGGCTAAAGAAGACAAGGCATTACTGACAGGCCACACAGGAGGAAGGTCATGTAAGGTAAGGTACACTAATATATTACACTTAGGCTGGCCATACATTAATCATTTGTTTTCACTCAACCAAACAAAACAAAAACAATGACTTGATTCCCCCATCCGCACATTTGATTAGGGGAATCACTCCGGCTGGGAGCCTTCCCCTCTATCAGAACACAATGATCAGTGCTGCTGGCTATAGCCAACAGCACTGATCGCTCAGGAAAAATCTGGCAGGCTGTTAATCAGTACATCGGTACATACAGTTAATCGGTAGATTGATTTCTGTACAACAAGCCTGCCCATACGTAGATCGAAATTTGTCTGGTGGATCATGTTTGGCCACCTTTTTTCATTAGTTGTAATCCTTATCTGTAAATAATGTGCCTTACCTTTTACATTTATATATCAGGCACTGAAGCTAAAGCTGGCTATACACGTGTAGATTTTCAGATGAGAATATTGGTAGGAAAAGTCGTATGAAAATTCTTTGCACATTTGATAAATGGACGGATGTCATTTGAAAATTGTCTTTTGCTTTTAACATTCAATTTTAAAATGAATGTAATTTCTGAATGATAATCACATACCCTATCCAAAAATGTGTTTGATTTAGAGAAGTTTTACTTCCTGCACCTTCAAATTTCCCCATCACTGCTGTCGAAAACGAATATTGATTTGACCCCAGTAACGATTAGAAAATCAAACAAATATTGTTGAAACAAAAATTCTCGAATGAAAATCTACAGTATACAGTCAGGTCCATAAATATTGGGACATCAACACAATTCTGCGCATGCGGCGTTTGCCGAGCATTAAAAAACGCTCCGCAAACGCCGGACCAACGCTTGCCAAACGCTATAAGGGCGTTTGGCAAACGTTGGTAAAACAGCCAAGTGTGAACGAGCCCTTAAGATGGCCATACACATACAGTCAGGTCCATAAATATTGGGACATGGACACAATTCTAACATTTGTGGCTCTATACACCACCACAATGGATTTGAAATGAAACAAACAAGATGTGCTTTAACTGCAGACTGTCAGCTTTAATTTGAGGGTATTTACATCCAAATCAGGTGAACAGTGTAGGAATTACAAGTTTGCATATGTGCCTCCCACTTCTTAAGGGACCAAAAATAATGGGACAATTGGCTTCTCAGCTGTTCCATGGCCAGGTGTGTGTTAGATCAAGAACACTCTCCAGAGGTAGGTGTATGTGTGTCAAAGTCAACAATCAAGAGAAGACTTCACCAGAGTGAATACAGAGGGTTCACCACAAGATGGAAACCATTGGTGAGCCTCAAAAACAGGAAGGCCAGATTAGAGTTTGCCAAACGACATCTAAAACAGCCTTCACAGTTCTGGAACAACATCCTATGGACAGATGAGACCAAGATCAACTTGTACCAGAGTGATGGGAAGAGAAGAGTATGGAGAAGGAAAAGAACTGCTCATGATCCTAAGCATACCACCTCATCAGTGAAGCATGGTGGTGGTAGTGTCATGGCGTGGGCATGTATGGCTGCCAATGGAACTGGTTCTCTTGTATTTATTGATGATGTGACTGCTGACAAAAGCAGCAGGATGAATTCTGAAGTGTTTCAGGCAATATTATCTGCTCCTATTCAGCCAAATGCTTCAGAACTCATTGGACGCCGCTTCACAGTGCAGATGGACAATGACCCAAAGCATACTGCAAAAGCAACCAAAGAGTTTTTTAAGGGAAAGAAGTGGAATGTTATGCAATGGCCAAGTCAATCACCTGACCTGAATCCGGTTGAGCATGCATTTCACTTGCTGAAGACAAAACTGAAGGGAAAATGCCCCAAGAACAAGCAGGAACTGAAGACAGTTGCAGTAGAGGCCTGGCAGAGCATCACCAGGGATGAAACCCAGCGTCTGGTGATGTCTATGCGTTCCAGACTTCAGGCTGTAATTGACTGCAAAGGATTTGCAACCAAGTATTAAAAAGTGAAAGTTTGATTTATGATCATTATTCTGTCCCATTACTTTTGGTCCCTTAAGAAGTGGGAGGCACATATGCAAACTGTTGTAATTCCTACACCGTTCACCTGATTTGGATGTAAATACCCTCAAATTAAAGCTGACAGTCTGCAGTTAAAGCACATCTTGTTTGTTTCATTTCAAATCCATTGTGGTGGTGTATAGAGCCAAAAATGTTAGAATTGTGTCCATGTCCCAATATTTATGGACCTGACTGTATGTGTATGGCCATCTTAAGGGCTCGTTCACACTTGGCTGTTTTACCAACGTTTGCCAAACGCCCTTATAGCGTTTGGCAAGCGTTGGTCCGGCGTTTGCGGAGCGTTTTTTAATGCTCGGCAAACGCCGCATGCGCAGTTTAGTGGAAGTTGCTAGGTGTTTGCCGAGCGTTAAAAATGCCCCACAAACGCCTACAGTGCAGTTTGAATGGTGTTACCGCTCCGCAAACGCCCCGCAACCGCACCGCAAACGCCGACTGGGCGTTTGCGGAGTGGCACCATAGACTAGAATAGGAGGCTTCAATGCCTCCTGACTTGACCAGAGGCGTCCGTTTTGCCGCGACACAACGCAACGCGACACAAACGCTCCCGTTAGAACAGCACCATGTGCTGTAATGTGCAGAATTGGCAGAGGCGTTTGGGAAGCGGTAAAAACGCTTCCCAAATGCCCCTCTGCCACCTGCACACAACGCTAGTGTGAACGTAGCCTAAGACTCAATCCCTATGGGCTGCAGTTACAGTGGTTCTGTCTAGTGTCATGTGACCATGGTACCAACTCTAGCCTCTGCAGTAATCAATCCTCTTGGGCTGTATTGATATAGCACGTATGACAGTGAAATCATGAAGCCTATAGTATATAGAGCAGCAAATAGACATGGCTGTTAATGATATGAAACAGCTAGAGCAGCAACATATTAAACAGAGAAATAAAGGGTGCCCATCAGATCAGTATGCCCATGTGAATGAGGCCTTAGGGTGTCCTTGTAATAAATGCACCCACTATGGTTGCACCAATACCATTTTTTTATCGGCAAGTATGAGTTCCTATACTTGTGCTCAAGTACTCGCCAAACAGGAATTCAGTGTGATTCCTGTTCAAATCACATGTGGCTTTCCATTGGGTGCAGTGCGATTTGCAGTGCGATTTACGCCAAACAAAATGAATGGCTCATATCGCACTCCAAAGTGCACTGCAGCCGCAGGGAGTCATATGTGATGCGGACAGGAATCGCACTGCTACTTCAGCTGAAGTAGTTCGATTTCAGTTCAAATCACATGCGATGCAAGCAATGCAATTTGAGCCCATTTGTTTTGTATGGGCTCAAATCACACCACAAAGATATTGGTTTCAGGTATCAGAGCATTTGCATGAGTACAAGTAATCGTACAAATGCTTAGTATATCAGTGCAACCCTAGTACCACACATTAGGGGTTATTTGAGATAAGGTGACCACAAACTGGAACATATTGTAGAAGAAGTGCGTTTGTCTCCCGAAACGCGTCAGATTATCCCTAATTAGGGCACAGCATTGTATAAGACTCATTGCGGACAACCTATTCTGCTTTTATTCTCCTTTGGTTTGTGAATATATCTATTTGTTTTCTCAATAAATACGTGGTGTACCACGGTAATGCACGATGAGAGTGCACCCTTGTTTGCTTTTGAACATATTGTAATGTCTGATTCAGTCCTCAAAATCTATTGATGGTCTCTGGGCATCCACACATTCAAATGTGTGTGTACATAAATGCCCTGTCCATTTCCCTTCTTCTCTCTGCAGTTATTTAATGCTGTAAATTGAGGAAAGATGAAATCTGATTGGCTGCTCTGGGTTACAGTGTTTTATTTCTTTAGAAAATAATGTCTGACTGTGCACCTTTTAGTTTGCCTACTTGTGTCCTCTAATAATTGTTTAAGATGAGGACAGTGATGATATTTTTTATCTTTTTAGCTCTGTGATTCAAGAACGTGTATATCAATAGCACAGGCAGCAACCAAAGCAGAATTTGGCACAAGTTGCATGCAATGTAATCTTTGACCACCCCAGCATAAAGTTGGTGTTAAACCAGCCCTGTCAGCACTGCCCTACAAAACTTACCATCACATGGATTAACAGCAACAGCAGCAGTGCTCCCGGCTGCACAACCAGCGAGGAAAGACACGAAGAATGGAGATTTTTCATCTGGAGTCTTCTGACCGAGTTTGTTCAAGTTGGCGAAGAGGGGGAAATATATTATTGAAAAGGGTACATCCCTGCAGGGAACAATAATTCAGAATAAGTCAAAGAGGATAATACAAGAACTGTATTATTATAAGTAGTAGCACTGTTTTCTATATTTACTTTACTTCGACGAAACTGAGACGTTGTCTCTTCCAATCCCTTGTAGGACAACTCCACACTCCAACATTGAGCCTGCGTTCACACTGATGCAGTGTGGAATTCGCACCAGTTTCTGTGCAAAGTCTACACCGCATCATAATTGCACCCCGTTCATGCGAACCACTGCGGGTGTGTATGCTAAGTTAACAACACCCCGGAATTAGTTTGTAAAACACAGTGCGATGTGCAGAATCAGATCACATTGGGTGTGAATACCCATGCGATACATTCTACTACACCAAAAAATTCCTGCACCTCTGCGGTGTGATTTGACCATACAGAATGTATGGCTCAAATTACATTGCACATAATTTGCATTTGATTTGCATAGGAATGCGTTGCGATTTGAGTCATACAAAATGTATGGCTCAAATCACATCACACATAATTCTCATGAGATTTACACAGGAATGCGGTGCGGTTCCTGTGCAAATCACATGCAATGTGCAGCACCGTAGCAGTGTGAACCCAGGCCTAAATATGATTTCAGATTGTTTGGATGAGGGTGGGTATTGATCAACTCTTCCAGCCAGGTGAACTTCACACCTTTGACTTTTTAAAGCAGGAATACAGATTTCCCAACTAAAGTTTCTTTCTAAAATCTCCAAGTTAGGCACGCGGTTAGATCTCAATTCTCACACCCATCCTCTCTCCAACAATACCTCCTTGAATCCTTGTTGAGCACATAGGGCCTCTAAAAACCTCTCTCTTCTATCTAAGCTCTGCTCATGACATTGCATAGTTCCAAGACCACCGTTTTATTCCACAAGTGGAAGTGCGATATTCCTACCCTTTATCAGGAGGACTGGGAGAAGACTGGGAGAATACAATACATTAAATTGATGATCGCTGCTAGAGACCAATTTGTTCAGCTGAAATTTCTGCATAGAATATATTACACTCCCAGAGACTACATCCCATTATTCAACTCTCTCTCTACTCATCTGTAAGGCCCGGATCACACTAGTGAGGGCGTGTGGCCAGCGTTTGCGCTGGCACAGCAGCCCATTCATTTGAATGGGCTGCTGTGCCCACATTTCACGCAAAGAAAAGGTGCATGCATCTTTTTTGAAATGCATCCACACGGAAACCGCATGGTCTTTTTCATCCATGCGGTTCCCGCACCCGCAATTGTGCCATGATCCCGCTGCGGGGTGAGATGTGTCTCACAAGAGAAGCACAATGTACCTGCGGGTGGTTGTGGGTGCATCAAGTCCTGCACCCACAGCCAGCCTGCACTGTGTGGGCTAGTGTGAACCTAGCCTAACTAATGTCAGAATGAAACTGGCACTTATTACTATATTGTGGGGAGTTGCCCCCCATGCTCTTGACTATGGGCATCAGTAACAGTAAAATTAAAGAGGTATTAAACACAAAACTAGACATGTAGTATATTGCAGCTTACCAATCATTTGATGTGGTGGATAAAATCATTTTTTTAAATATTTTTTTTTCATTCTGTATTAACCTGGTGATCTGGCCAGTAACAAAAAGTACCTTCTGTATTAGAGTGCCCTACTCTGGATGAAGGAGCACAGGAGGCACATTTGGACAGCAGCAGCCTGAGGAGAAGGGTGTTAGATGTACTGGCACATTTAAATAAACTAACAAATTGAAGCCAGGCCTAATACTTTATAAGCACTTACAGCAGCATTATTTTTCTTTTGGAATAATGTTTTTACATACATAAATAAAAACTGATCATTGGAAGTACCCCTGCCAGTGTTGAATGGTTTGTTTCTTCCCTGTAACTGATACAATCAGCAAGAGAGCTTGTTCTTTTGAAAAAACAATAATTTACTGGCTGGATCACAGATGAAAATAGAAGAAAGAAAGCCTAAAAAATAAAACTAACACAGCCTTCACATGTAATAATTTGTTAAGCTACAATATAATGAATGTTTGCTTTGAGTTTTATACTACGAGGGTGTTTGGCCTACCTCTGACGCTGGAATAACTTACTAATAAATGAATATTAGGCATCCAGGATAGTCTTTCCACCCAAAAGTAGGTTAAACTCTTTCTATTTCCACTATGCCACACGGGAGAAACTCTTCAATGGAAAATTCCTTCTCCCCTGTCTTATAGTGACTGGTGTTCGATCTTTCAAAGTGTGATCCCAACTCCCAAAGTACCAATTGACATACAGTATATAAGCAGAAACTTTTCATCAATGTATAACAAAATTTACACTCTGCTTGAATCCAACTCCCCCCCCCCCCCCCCCCCCCCCAATCTGACACGTCAAGCGGAACGTCTGATGCATCACTTCCGGTCTACAGTTGGCTACTTCTGCATGATCGGACGGGGTACAATTTCAATTTTGTATGGGTATAATCCTTTTTATATGATACATTTTTAATAAACTATACAGTTTTACACTATGAGAGGATTCCTCTTCTTTCTTTTTTGAAATATTTGCCGTTTTTTTTTTTGCCATTGGAATATCATTAAGACAATTGCTGAGGAGGTAACAGCGCAGATAAGTGCCGAGCAGGAGATCCAAGCAGGTCCTTGGGGGACCACAAAGTGCTATGTGACTTTTCTTGTTGTATAACAAGGAGGTCAATGGAATCTGGTGAGTGGGGAGAGTTTCTAATCACTGGTGGTGGAACACTTAATAGTGGGATCGGTGGATACAGTACTCCTATTTTGTCTTACGGACTTCCTATATATCTTATGGTGTTGGAGTTGACGGAAGCACACATCATTTGGGACTTTGTACCGAAATTTTTGTTTTGAGGAATTATTATGAACTTTGCACTTATAAGTGAATATGAGAAATCTGTTTTTAGAACACATTCAAGTTATAATTTGTCACATTGCATTGAGTATTGCCTGATAAGCAAAAGCATTTTCGGCATGGTAAACTGATCGAAAGCAACAAAAGGATACTGGGTAGGATTGTGACCCGGAATAAGAAAACAACTGCTTCAAAAGTGACTGCAGAGCTGAATCCCAGTCCCGTAAAAAATGAGATTGAGCTCTGCAGTTTTATTGTCTTAAAATCAATTTTATTGAGAGTAAGAAGACTAAGAAATTTATGTTCAAATCTATCAAATATTTATACTTAATACTTGAGAGTAGGTGTGTAAATAAGGGGCAGACTTGTAGGGGCACCAGTGCATTACTTGGCCTAGGGGCTTATGATTCTATTAAGATGGCCCTAGTAAGAAGAGGATGTGGGACTGGTCTAGCTGTGGGGAAGAGTGTTGGATCAGGTAAGTACATTTTCCTTTTTGTTCTCCCAAACCTAAACCAGCAATTAACCACTTGCCTACCAGGCACTTATACCCCCTTCTTTACCAGGCCAATTTTCAGCTTTCAGCGCTGCCGCACTTTGATTGACAAGTTGCGCGGTCATGCAACATTGTACCCATATGAAATTTTGATCATTTTTTTCTCACAAATAGAGCTTTCTTTTGGTGGTATTTAATCGCCACTGGGCACTTTACTTTTTGCGCTATAAATAAAAAAAGTGCAAAAAATTTGAAAAAAAAAAAAAGTTTATTTGTTTCTTTTATAAAAATTTTTCAAACAGGTATTTTTTCTTCTTCACTGATGTGCGTTGATGAGGCAGCACTGATGGGCACTGATAGGCGGCACTGATGGGCACTGATAGGCAGCACTAAAGGGCACTGATAGGCAGTACTAATTAGGGGTCAGGATAGGCGGCACTAATATGCAGCACTGATAGGTGACACTGATGATGGGTACTGATAGACGGCACTGACTGGCATCACTGCTGGGCACTGACTGGCGGCACTGACTGGCACAACCCCTGGGCACTGACTGGTGGCACTGACTGGCAGCACTGCTGGGCTGCACTGGTGGGTGGCACTGGTGGGCAGCACTGGTGGGTGGGCACAGGTGGGTGGCACTGGTGGGCACAGGTGGGTGGGCACAGGTGGGTGGCACTGCTGGGCACATGTAGGTGGCACTTCTGGGCACAGGTAGGTGGCACTGCAGAGTGGCACAGGTGGGTGCACTGCTGGGCACAGGTGGGTGCACTGATGGGCACGGGTGGGCGGAGCTAGTGGGCGCACTGCTGGGCGGGAACTTGCGGGTGGCACTGCTGGGCACCGATCATCAGGGCACTGATCATCAGTGCCCTGATGATCGGTGCCGATCCCCGCTCTGACAACTGCCGGTTCTCGGCAGTACTTTCCTCACTATCTGACAGCGTGAGGAAAGTGCAGCCGAGAACGTGCACTTGCATTTCCCTCTGATCAGCGTGTCATTGGACACCGCTGATCACGTGGTAAAAGGCCGCTGTGATTGGCCTTTTACCACATCACGTGATCAGCTGTGTCCGTAGGACACAGCGATCACGGAGATCGCCGGGTGCGCGCCCCCTGGGGCGCGCAGGAGAGCGCGTTCTGGGAGGACGTCATATGACGTCCACCCAGAACTGGCCGGCCGCAGTGAAGCCGTCATTCGGCTATCTGCGGTCGGCAGCTGGTTAACCCCTTCAGTAGGCAAAGCCCCACTGCACAGGATTATTTTTTGATTGCACAGAGTTGGGCTTTAAAGTAAAATCCGCTTTGTGATTTTTACCTACAGGCAAGCTTATAATAAAGCATTACCTGTAGGTAAAATTATTACTGTCTCCTAAACTTGCACCGTTTAGGAGATATTCATTATTTTTGGCAGCCGGCACATGTGCTCTGAAGGAACGGCATACCCATGCTGTTCCTTCAGAGCATTGATCCATGGCCTGTGACTCCTGCGCACATGTGTCCGTGACCGCATCGCGACTCAGCCAGTCAGATGGCCGGAGCTTGAGAACCCAGAAGGAAGGCAGGGTGAATATGGAAGCCCTGTCAGCAGTGACAGTGCACCGCTGGAGGGCTTTGTTCTAGGGTAAGTATTTCATAAAGTACAAGCCTACTAGCACATTATGCAATTGCCTTGCAGGAGATTTTTTTTATTTCTCTTTTTTTTAAGCTGCGGTTTTCTACCATTTTAAGGGGGGACAGAAGCACTCATTAAGGTTACTGATCCTGTATGCCCGCTACTAAAAGATGACAGAAGATAGATGAAAGTAAAATATATCACTGTTTTAGCAGCTCTTTTCCTAATATTATTATTTTACTGATAGCAGTGTGAGCAGAGGTCTGTAACCACCTACAGAACAATGAGCCACAGACCGGCCTCTTTTTTATATTTCTATTGCAGACAGAACGACTGAGATCAAAGGGAGAGGGCTGATGGACAAACTCTATTGTACAGGCTTCAAGTAGAAGATATAGTGGTGTGAAGCTGAGAGACATGAAAAAGATAATAGGTATTTTTGAAAAAGAAGTCTTGTGGCCTAGAGGATGCCTGATTAAAGTATAAGTAAACCCTGTCACTAAAATCTCATATAACTAACATGTTTTTTATCTTTTGATAGAGCGGAGATGGATTAGAACACCTGTCAGTTTTTATTGCTGTCTGTACCCCTATTATGGAGATCTCTATTTGTTATGTTTACCATTATCATTGAAATTGAAAGTCAAAGAAAATCCCAAATCTTGGATTGTCCCCAGAAAAATAATGGAAGGAAATGTAATGGAGGGAATCTCCCAATGGAGACACTAGTTCTGGTGACCTGGGGGTCCCCAATGAATTCCCTTAATTTTAGGAGATTTCCTCTCACTTCCTGTTTGGCTATGAGAAAGGAAATGAAGGGAAATCTCTGCAATGGGACACAGATGGAGAAAAATAAATCTGTCAGGGGTTATAACCATCCCGTACTCTATCCAAAATGAGAAAAAAAAGTTCTGCCTATAGTTCTACTTTAACATAATTTCAAGTCATATTTTGAAGTCTTCTGCTTCCATTAAAGTGTGCTTGGTGATCCTGCTATGAAGGTCCATGTTCATGCACTTCCTGTGACAGGTGATAATGCTCTGTCCTTACCCCTCAATTGTTCTCCTGAGTTGTCACTGTTACATGCACCCTCAATGGTGACTGCATGTGACCATGCTGATGTACATTACATGGACATGGTCCACTGTTGTCACCATCAGGAAACCTACCCTGAGGGCCAGTTCACACCAAAAAAACGCACTCTGGGTGCGTTCCAGATGTGTTTTTGCTTACAGTCCACGCCCACACTCCATTCCGGTGTGTTTTTGATGCATTTTGCTATGGTCCAGTATGGTTCTGTGCAGAAAAATGCAGCATGTTCAACTTTTTTTTCTTCACCGGAAACGGACTGGAACTGACTGCTCTGGAGTGAACTATGGCAATTGGAATACATGGAAAACACTGTTTATGCATTTTTGATGCAGAAAAAAAAAAAACGCACTGGACTGCATCTGATGTGAACCAGCCCTGAGAATCGCCAAGCAGCGAAGGCCTCATTTACATGGATGCTGAGGCCTGTAAACCCCAAATGGGCTATTTGTTTTTGTGGCTTAAGCCACCAGGTGCTGCATGCAGGCAGCCCATTATTTTAATCTAAAAACAGATACTTGGTAATTGTGATACACAGTGCTTTAACAAAATGCCATTCACTTTGGATTTACAGCCACATAGCAACATTAGGATGTGAGAGTGTGGCAAAGTCAAGTGAAAGTCATAGCTGCTATTCTGACTGATAGACAGTCTGCAGGATCATGGCCTTGCATCAATGATTTGCTTATTGTGGGTGCAATGATTTACAGGTTTTCCTAACCAAAATAAATAATAAATGCATATTTTTTTACCTGAAAAAAAATGTGCATTTATTTTTTTTTTTTGTTTGTAAACTCATCCTTTAACTGTTAGTCATGCAAAATATTCAATATAGGTTTAATGTTTGGGGCACAGCTGCACATTTTTTAATGCATTTCTGCATTAGTAGTATTACAACATTAATTAAACAGCCCTGGCAGTAAATGGGATAATGGTATGCCTAGGCAAAGTATAGTAGTTTGTCAAGTTTAACTCTGCATTTCCAAAAAAAAGGCCTCAAAATGCTTTGATAATCTTTACCACGAATGAACGGTGCATTTGAACATTTTTATGACTATGGAGCAATTTTGTTGTCTGCCTTTGAAAGTAATTCTCATCAAGAAAAAATGCTGGCGCAGGCAGTCTGGCAGGATGACACAGCACATAATTGCAGGCCTGGTCCAGTTATTCTGTACTGGCAGGCAGCAAAGTTATTCTGTTCCATTTATAGAGTGCTTCTGTTTTATCTGTGTCCATCAGTAGGAGTGCTCTGTATCCAAGACAAACTATTGTCATTCATCTGAGCCTGGTTCTGTTACAATATATACTGTGGTTACATTCCAGATAATACAAACAATAGCTGATTTACCTTTATCCAGCCAACTATAAAATATATTCCTGAATGTGTACAATGAAACTGGGTTAATGTTCTAGTCACCTTAAAAGAGTTGCTCCCAGGCCTTTGTACAATCCAGCTATCCCTTTACTTCTCAGTAGTTCCCGGGAGATGGCCATGGCGGTGGGTCGTGCAAAGCTGGCCTCTGCTGCGCCACTGCTCGCTCCTGTCTGGCTGGCCATGAGCTTCCTCTGGGCATCTGTCAAAACACAAGTAAGAAAATGTTACTCTATGTAGTAGTTATTAATTTTTTTCTCTTATCATCATATAGGTGCCAAAGGGAGTGCTTATCATTGGTTTATTAGGCTGGCTGAGGGCTCCTCCGAATTTGAAGAAGAAAAGATAAACGAATCTCAGTACAAAGTAGAGAGGTGTTAGCTTCATACCACATTATATTAATAAAAGTGTGATTACGTGATCAGCACACATTGACCATGCAACCCCTGTTCACCTGCAATGTTTCCATGACCTAGCAAAGCTACTTTTTAAGTAGGCTGGAGCTTATCTACATTTACTGCCAATATGTACTATATTTTATGAAATACAAAATTACATTATGCTAATTAAATATGTATTCATTAATGATTTTTAAATTAACTTAAATGTTTGCATAAGTAAGCATTATAGGACACATCTGGGTACAATACATGGCTAAAGGCTTCATTCTATATGTTATACAAAGTACCTAATCTTCCTGCATCTTGCAGCTGGATCTTCAGCATCTCCATAGGGGTGGTAACAATTACTTGGCATGTGCCAGCACCGCAACCAGCCAACATCTCCTTCAGCAGAGTCAACTTCTTCCTGCATAGAAACAAAAAATAGTAAAAACACAACCATCCATATTCTTTCTAATGTGAACTTTAACCAATTGACCTCTGAGAGATTTACCCTCCTGGCGGTATATACAGTATACTGGAACTTTTTTTTTTTTTTTTTATACTAGCAATGGCGGTGGTCAGCGACTTATAGCAGGACTGCGACACTCTGACACTAACTGACACTTTGTGGGAACCAGTGACACTAATACAGTGATCAGTGCTAATAATATACACTGTTACTGTATTAATGACACTGGCAGGGAAGGGATTAAACATCTGGGGTGATCAAAAGGGGTAATTGTGTGCCTAGCCAGTGTTTCTGTGTACTGTGTGTGTGTTTTTACTAGGCAATCTGCTGAATTTTATTCCCTGAATAAAATCTAGCAGATTGCCACCGACAGAGCACAGCTCTTCCTTGCTTACATAGGCAGAGCGGTGTTTTGTCAGTCTTCTCGGCAATCAACGGGTGCCGACACTCATCCATTGGCCGGCACCTGTTGATCGGCTTCTGCTGTGTCCAATCACAGCAGAAGCGGCACTCTGGTGGCAGGTGTGCACCCCCGTGGCAGAAATGCGAAATCACGTTTATATACATGATTTTGCACAGAACGTCTGCCTTATAACAGTAAATCTGCTCTAGGGCGGACGGAAAATAGTAAAAGGCCTATTCACATTTCCCCTTTTATTTTTCCTAAAAATACATTTCACGTAGAAAAAAAATCTTTCCTATGGGACTAGTTCACATCCATGCACTGCAGTTTACTGTGAAAGGGCAAATACACTGGCTCACCCATACATAGTTACCACATCTGCTGCAATAAACAGAACAGTGTGCATACGGCCTAAAATATTGGGGTTGATTTATTTAATGAATGCTGCTTTTTAAAGAATATTTAAACCAAGCATTTCATATTCCTGATATGTGCCTGCTGTACAGTGTACTTGCATGAAAAAGTATCCTGTTCTCTTTGTATTGTTTCCTTTGTGTGAAATCCCTGGTGGTCCTGTCAGTCCCTCTGCTTTCCCATTAAAAACTGACTACACTAGGCATGACAACACAACATGGTCAGTTTTCTGGCTGTGCTTGGAGCTAATCCAAAAATCAGGCTTGTGCAGACACGCCACTCCCCCTGCACAGCCATTCAGTGGGAAGTTAACTGTGCTGCTGTTTCTTCTCCCCCAGTTCCCACTGCAGCTGAGAACAGAGGGTATGTGATCAACTTATAAAAAAGGGAAAAAAAAGGTATTTATAATGGTTTGTATATCTATACACAAAGGTTTTACCTCTCATCTCAATTTTAAACTGAATGCGTTGGTTTACAGTGTGAGGGTTTACATATACTTTAACTTAAAGCGGAGCTCCACCCAAAAGGGGAAATTCCACTTTAAGGACTGGTCCCCCACTCCCCGTTAAGTATTGGCACCTTTGGGGAGTGGGTACCCAAAATTGACAAGTACTTGCTCCCACTTTCATTGCAATCGCCTAGCCCAGGGGTGGGCAACTGTGGCCCTCCAGCTGTTGTAGAACTACAAGACCCATGAGGCATTGCAAAACTGACAGTTACAAGCATGACTCCCAAAGGCAGAGGCATGATGGGACTTGTAGTTCACCGACAGCTGGAGGGCCAAAGTTGCCCACCCCTGGCCTAGCCAATCGGAAGCCGAAGTTGTCCTCCCTCCCTCCCCATAGTCTTCTGGACACATGACAGGTCCCAGAAGACGACGGGGCCATTCAGAAAACGCAACACTACTCGCCCATGCACAGGGGGCACCCGGCTGTGAAGCCACAAGTTGTCACAGTCGGGTGCTCACACTGAAGATGCCGGCGTCAGGGAACACAGGGCGGCCGGAGAAATGGGCTGCGGGGTGAACACAGGATCAAGGGACAGGTAAGTGTCCATTTTTTAAATGTCAGCAGATACAGTTTTTGTAGCTGCTGACTTTTATTTTTTTTATTTTCAGTGGAATTTAGCTTTAAGCAGGCCATAGATGGATGAAAATGTTTCTGGTTCAGCAGGGATCTGACAAATTTCAATCCAGGCTGGTTGTACAGATGCCAATCTCTCAAATGACTTTTGTACAATTACCCTGTCGGGTTGGGTTTTTTTTACTCAATCAGTGTCACCAGGAACTCGGTGTTAATGGGGGAAATTTATGGGGTTTTTTTGCATTCATCCTGCTGGTTTAGACCAGGGAAGCCGTTTTCCTTTCAAACATTCAGTCCCACATTCCTCCTTTCTAAGGTTGGGGGTACACTGGCAATCACAGAAACTGCAGATTATTGGACAATTGTTAGGAGACCGGTCTCATTAATCTTGCAGTATAATCTACATCAGAGTCTGTGGAGGAGGAAATGTTAATCACTACTACTTTCTGCTATGCAATTAAACTGCAGAATTACGCATTTGTGGGAGATCGATTACTTAATAGTTTGGCTGCAAATCTCTTGTGTAGCAGATCTTATTAATGTGACCTACAGAAAGGTCTACAGAGGCCATTAAATCTTTGCCACTTAACAATGTAACCACTTGTTTGCAGTCACCTCATTTGCAGCGTGCCGAGATCAACATGCGTGTAATGAGTTGGTTGCCAGGTGGTTAAATCTCTCCATAGCAAGGGGCACTTAGGCTGGGCTATCCAGGTGATTTTATTCTTACACTGCTCAGTGATGAACAGTCATATCATTAGCCGCTCATTAATGTCAGCATGCTGCAAATGAGGCAACTGCCACTTCTTGCAAGGGATTAATAGGGATGAACCATGTAGGCCTAGTCTACATAGCTCAGCTGTTCTACTAAAATCGATCTCTTTAGATCACATTGCTTCTGTTGTAAACTACTTTGCAGGAGATTTTGTACAATTCTGCAAATTAATTTTGTGTCAAAAACTTTTGGCGACTACTCTCCTCTGTTCTCTTCCTTACACTTGAATAGAAGGATTGCTCAATATTTGCTCATTAAAGTGGAAATTAGTCAGAAAACAAAGCCCTGCTACATCACTTCAGGCTGGCCCTTTTGCAGGTATAGCTAGGTAAAATATTTAAAATAAATGTCTATACTGTTTAAAATCCTGCTTCATCCTGCTCTGCACATGCTCAGTAGTTCTTGGCACTGTGCCAAATTTGTAAAGACTGATTTGCTGACAGCCTAAAGATTTACTGCTGCTCAGGGCTCTGGGCTTCAGCAAAATGTCAGCCTCCAGCAACAAGAAACAGGAACAATGCTGGGGGCAATTTACAACACACACTCTTTTTGGTAGCATAATTATTAATGTGGAATGTATGCTCCTTCCTAAAGAGCATTATGTTTTATCAAATTGTTATGGGTAAAGTTCCACTTTAACCTCTTCCAGTCCAGCCATTGCAAATAGACAGTGGATAAGAAGCTGTGCAAATGCGGGCTAACGTACCTGTACATCAGCCCACATCGGCTTCTCACAGAGTGCAGACCCAGGAGCGATTGGTATATAGTCTGGACACAGCGGATCACATTACCGCTGTGTGTGGGAGATCACCTAGTGTTTTACCACGTGACTGCTGTGCCCAATCACAGCACTCACATTGTAAACACTGTAAAGCAAAACTAAAGATCACTGCTCTCTGTTCTCAGTGTGAGAGCAGAGAGAAGCGATCCTGCAGGATGTGAGTGTACAGCTACATGTCAGATTGCATGTTACATAGTTATTCTGGCTGAAAAAAAAGAAAAAAGCCCACCTAGTTCAACCATAACAAAAAAAAAAAAAGTTATAATCCTATATCCACAGTTGATCCAGAGGAAGGCAAAAAACCCCAGGAAAAGCAAGATCCAATTTGCTCCTGCAGGGGAAAAAACTCCTTCCTGATCCCCAGGGGAAAAACTCCTTCCAGGCAATCAGATATTCCCTGGATCAACTTTACCTATAAATGTTAGTATCCAGTTATATTCTGTGTATCTAGGAGAAAATCCAGGCCCTTTTTTTAAAGCAATCTACTGGGCTGGCCAGAACCATCTCTTGAGGGATTCTATTCCACATTTTCACAACTCTTACTGTGAAGAAACCTTTCCGTATTTGGAGATTAAATCTGTTTTCCTCCAGACATAAAGAGTGCCCCCTTGTCCTCTGTGATGACCTCAGGGTGAATAACTCTACACCGAGTTCACTATATGAACCACTGATGTATTTATACATGTTGATCATATCCCCCCTTAATCTCCTCTTCTCAAGAGAGAATACATTCAGTTCCTCTAATCTTTCCTCATAGCTGATCTCCTCCATGCCTTGTATCAGTTTGGTTGCCCTTCTCTGCACTTTCTCCAGTTCCCCAATGTTCTTTTTGTGAATTGGTACCCAAAACTGAACTGCATATTCTAGATGAGGTATTACTAATGATTTGTAGCGGGGTAATATGATATCTCTCTCTCTAGAGTCTATAGTGGCTAAACGGTTAGCACTTCCGCCTGGCAGTACTAGGGTCGTTGGTTCATATCCCAACCACAGCACCTCCTGTCTGAAGTTTGCATGTTCTCCCTGTGCCTGCGGGGGTTTCCTCCCACACTCCAAAGACATGCTGGTAGGTGAATTGGATCCTGTCTAAAATACACCCCTTGAGAGTTAGGGACTGATGTGAATGTACAATATATATGTAAAAGCGCTGCGTAAATTGACAGCGCTATGTAAGTACCTGAAATAAAATAAATATACCTCTTTTAATACAAGAGAGGATTTTGCTCCCTTTAGAAACCGCAGCTTGGCATTGCATGCCATTATCAAGCTTGTGATCTACCAGAATTCCCGGATCCTTCTCCACCATTGATTCCCCCAGTTGTACCCCCCCTAGTATGTATGATGCGTGCATATTCTTAGCCCCCAAGTGCATAACCTTACATTTATCAACATTAAATTTCATTTGCCACATAGTTGTCTAATTAAACAGTGCATTGAGGTCGGCTTGTAAGTTGGAGACATCCTGTAAGGACGTTATTCCACTGTATAGCTTGGTGTCAT